CGCAACCTGCGTAGCTAGGTTGCCATTTTCAATTACTAAACAGACTTGAACGCCAAGCACTAATCCATTATTGCTCAGACTGTAATCGCGTGACCCTTCAGAAACAGAACTTTCGTTTGATTGGTTGGTCTCTACGCGGGACACAGCTACAGACGGAACATTTTTGGGGAAAATTTGAAATATTCCGCATATGCTGCCGTAGCTAGGGACATCGTTTCCGTAGCTAGGCGGGACTTCGCTTTCAGCGGAACTATTCTTCCAGCTGAGCTATTTCTTGTCTTTTCCCGTTTAAACCAATGCTACCAGAATCTCGTTTGTCAGAAATGTCCGTCTAGTGAGGACCGTCACTATATGTGATAACCCCTTTAGACTGATGTAGCCCAAAAGCAAACGCACGTACTCAGGAATCCTAATTCTCTCTGGCGAAAAACTTGACTTAAATACTGTTCTACTTCTCATTTGCATTTAACAGTTAACCCGATTCTAAAACTCATTAAAATATACCTTACAAACTATCTAACAGCTACAAATATTTGTTTTGCGTTTAAGAAATTTTTCTGTACTGTCTGCGTCACAGCTACTGGAGGAAGCAGGTAGACCTCTCCAGTGTCATCGATGGTTTTGCAAACAAAAAAACAAGCAAAATAATAATATTTTAAAATACTGTTACGAATTTGATATTTAAAAAGCTAATGTTAGTTCAATTATAAATTAAATGGTTTTATTTCTCGCGCAGTGCAGCGCGTGACGAATATTAAAAGAAAGCTAAGCCGGAAAATTGAAAAATACAAGAGCGCGTGCATTAAATAAATAAATATCTCTTTTTGATTTCGAGAAAGTACTGGAAAATTCTAGCGCGTGATTTTAAAATCTTATAAAAGGAGGAAAACATCTCAGTTCGTAGTAGTTGCTTGCTTAGTTTGTTGTTGTTTAGAAAACTGCTCTTGTTGATTGTAGCGAATTCGCGGATTAGCGTTCTTTAGCTGTTTTGAATTACGTTCTATTGGACATTTGAGTAGTTAAAAGATAACTACTGTGAGATATTGTAATACTGCATGATAATTTGAGAAAATTTAAGCATTTTTGTTGTGATAATAATAAATTTTTGTTCATTTTTCATCGGACTTGTGCATTCATTTCATAACGAACCCGTACGCACGCAACAATTTTTGGTGTTAGAAGTGAGATTTGAATGCCAATCACTAGAGCGATGGAAGAACAATTAAGACAGCTCATTATTGCTTTTGCTGCGTTCCAAGAAAAGATGGAAGCTGGCAAAGCATCATTTAAAGAAGAAATGAAAGAAAAAATGGATGCTGGTCAAAGGTCCGTTAAAGAAGAAATGAAATTGGCCAGGAATCCCTCAAAGGAGAATGAAATTGGGCCGGAATCCGTTAAGGAAGAGATGAAATCTCTTAAAAATGAGATGAAAGCAGGTCAGGGACGAAATGAAAAGAGAAATTACCTGCATAATAGAAAATAAATTTGAGGCTATGGAAGGCAGAATAGACGCGGTTGAGAAACTAAAGTTGGACATATAGAAGAGAAGAGTTTCTGCCGTCGAACAACAAAATTGATGATAGGGTTTCTGCTGCCGTCACCAAGAAGTTGATACCTTTAAAGAAGAGCATAGCGACGGCAGGAAGGAAGCAATTCTGAGGGTTTTAAATTTTCACCGATGCCTGCTCGTTCCGTTCTGCAGAAACTATCTTACATATGATGGGAAGACCTCCTGGCAAGTGTATAAGACACAATTTTCTATCGTTGCGGATGCGAATGGATGGGAATTCCCAAGCTAAGGCCTGTCATCTCGCCGCTTTCTCTGAAGAGCAGACGCAGCGGATATCCTGCAGACGCTTCCCGAAAACAAAAGGCTAGATTTCGAAGCTCTATCCGGCGCATTGGAGCTGCGCTTTGGCGAGAAATGTTTAAAGGACTACAGCAGGCTTCAATTAAAATTCCCGTCAACAGAAGCCCACCGAATCACTCCAGGAACTCGCCACGGATGTTGAAAGACTGTCCCACCTCGCCTTTACGGAGTGCCCGAGAGAAACGAAGGAAATCCTGTCGCCTGCAATACTTTCATCGATGGCATCCGGGACCCTGAAATACAGAAAGCACTGCGAATGGCGATGTGAAGGATGTAAAAAGCGCTCTGTTGTACGCCGTGAAATTCGAGGCAGCCCAGCAAGCAACACTCTGACTGGGTAGAGATCGCTACCCAGTCAGAGCTGTGCGAGTCCACGAGCCAGGGGATCAATTGATGGCTCGTTTAGATGATTTATCCAAGACAAGTCGATGCTTTGACAATTCGACGACCGGAGTAAGCAGTGAGAACAAACTGGCTCTAAGGTGTTGGAGATGTGGTTCTGAAGGTCACCTACGACGGCAATTGCAGAACACCCCAGGGCACGGATAATAAAACGGATGAGTTGACAAGACCAGTGAATGCTTTAGACGGAATAGTGGTGAAACGACCGACCCTAAAGTGCTGGAATTGCGGTGTTGAAGGCCACCTACGAAGGAACTGCAGAACTCCCCAGAGCACGGAAAATAAGGCATACGATTTAAACAGACAATTAAATGCCATGGGACGGAACAAGGAATGACAAAGAAACCATTTCTTAAGTGCTGGAACTGTGGCTGCTTGAAGGCCACATACGAAGAAACTGCAGAACACCCCGAGGTACGGAAAATAAGACCATTCCCAGCAACAACGCAGTAAACAAATTAGTGACCATATCGAGGAACGGAGGTAGCCAGATAGTGAAAAACCTTGTTTTAAAGCTCTTAAAATTTATACAGTGAGTGGCAACAATAACGGACTGTCCATCAATGGGAATATCGATGGAGTTCCTTGCAGTATGATCATTGACACAGGAGCCAATGTTACCATCATTAGGAAAGATTTAGCTGAACAGTTTAAAGATAAACTTATTTGGACGCCATCCTGTGTTACCCTTCAGACTGCGTCTGGTGACAAGATCGACATAACTGGGAAGTTAAACGTAAACATCACGTTTGGAAGTGCCGCCTACCATCACACGGCATATGTGGCGGATATTACAGATCCATGCATACTCGGATTGGACTTTTTAAGGAAATACAATTTTTCCTTAGACTTGAAAAACAACAAACTGCTTTCAGGATCTAAAGACATGACTATCCATCCTAAAGAAGGGATCCTCACCTGGAAATGCCGACGCTTTGTCCGAAAGAACCAGCTCGAGAAACAGCCGAAATCATGCTAGGGTCGAAAAGAAACACCAGACTACCAGCTATTCTCCATCTCAGATGCTCTTCGGTCGAGACCTTCGTCTGCCTTGTGACCGCCTGTTTGATCGCCGTACGGATGCTCCTTCATCGCCTGAGGAACACATCCAAGATGTCCAGGCCCGTTTTGAAGTGATGCACCGTTCCGCACGAAAGCGAGTGAACTTGGCGACGGAGAAGGTGAAGACCACATACGACACGAGAGCTACTGGACATAAATTCAAACAAGGAGACAACGTGTGGTTGAGGAACCCGATTCAAACGAAAAGGACTGAGTCCTAAATTACAGTCACCTTCGGATGGTCCCATATACAGTCCTGAACACTGAATGACGTCGTGGTTCGGATCCGTAAGTCTTCGAACTCTTACGACAGGTTAACTTATTACTATGGCCATAGTACGTAATGTAAATAATTGTAAATAGTATCAACCATGGTCCTTTATTTTTTTTAATGTGTATTTGATTTGATTTGTATTTAGTATTTGTTTTGTATTTGATAGCATTTGATTGTTTTTTTTTTTTTTTTTTTTTTTTTTTTTTTTTTTTTTTTTTTTTTTTTTTTTTTTTTTTTTTTTTTTTTTTTTTTTTTTTTTTTTTTTTTTTTTTTTTTTGTCCAGGGATTGTAACTGCCCGGAAGCAGTCCTTGGGGCAGTGTTACGAATTTGGTATTTAAAAAGCTAATGTTAGTTCAATTATAAATTAAATGGTTTTATTTCTCGCGCAGTGCAGCGCGTGACGAATATTAAAAGAAAGCTATGCCGGAAAATTAAAAATACAAGAGCGCGTGCATTAAATAAATAAATATCTCTTTTTGATTTCGAGAAAGTACTGGAAAATTCTAGCGCGTGATTTTAAAATCTTATAAAAGGAGGAAAACATCTCAGTTCGTAGTAGTTGCTTGCTTAGTTTGTTGTTGTTTAGAAAACTGCTCTTGTTGATTGTAGCGAATTCGCGGATTAGCGTTCTTTAGCTGTTTTGAATTACGTTCTATTGGACATTTGAGTAGTTAAAAGATAACTACTGTGAGATATTGTAATACTGCATGATAATTTGAGAAAATTTAAGCATTTTTGTTGTGATAATAATAAATTTTTGTTCATTTTTCATCGGACTTGTGCATTCATTTCATAACGAACCCGTACGCACGCAACAATACTTATATTAAATTTTTGTCTCCAAAAATGAGCGTAGAGTTTTAATTTATTTCCCTACAAGTTATAAGGTATTTCTCCCGCATTCTTGGCATGCCTTCGTGGTGTGGGGGTCTGCAGGCTCAGCGCGTAATTGAGAGGTCCGTGGTTCGATTCCCGGCGAAGGCGTTGCATACTTCTCATCTTGCATGCTTCCAAAAAAATACCTAATGTCTCTACAAACTCATTTTGACGCTTTTTCAGTTATGTGTTTGTATGTCAAGGGGGCGTCAAAATCAAAGACCCCCACAGGCGGCAAAGCCAGAGACCGCCCCGGGCGGCAAAATCTCTATGTACACCATTTCAAAATTGGCATAGGGAATATTTATTACGTTAAAAATAATTAGATGGTCCAAGTCTTGGATGTGACGAACAAGAATCGAGTTCATCGAACGACAGTCATCAATCATCACCAATCATAACTGAGCGCGAAGAATTCAGCATCGTCAATTGGCTGTCATGGTCAAATGTAATGACTTTTTTTGGCATGAAATATGCACAGCGCTTCTTCGGACTCAAACGGTGAAAGACGCGTTTGTTACTTAACGTTTCAGCCATGTAGTAAACGTCTAATCTTCCTCTTATTCCTAAAACCTTTATTAAGAAGAAAAAGAGAGAGTCAGGGAGGATATATTTATTTCCTGACGCATAATTGAAAACGGAAATCATGTCACCTGCTTTCTGCTGTCAATAAATTCTAAAAAAAGAAGACGCTATCTGGAATTCTTTCGATAACGTTGATCAAGTTCTTTGGCTTTTGAGATTGGATATAGAAGGTCGGTGAAACCAAAGGAGAAATATTACGTGGTATCACCTTCATGCATCTTGCTTCTTGTAAGTGTTAATGAAAGTTCAGGTATGCAGAAATCCTTATTTTAATAATCTTGAACTAGAGAACTTAAAGATTTTGTATAGTCTGTATGGTATTCAGTTAAAATTGTGGCTGTCGGAGAATTTTCTTTCTGAGGAAACAATATTATAGACCAGCGGTTCTCAACCTTTTGCCTAACGCTACCATCTAAACAAAAACTGAAAAACTTTAGTACCACCACTACATTTTACAATAATTGTTTTTCAGTTTCTTAATAGAAATATTTTTAAAAAAATATAAATTCCCATTTGTATTAAATATGCACACATAAAAAATATTAGGTTAAAAATTGGTTACCCTTTTAATTATCAAAATTTAAGTTATAATACATTAATTCTAAAATTCAGTGTGAAATTTGGGGCTGTTTAAGAGAGATCAATTTCTTTATGTGTGTTCGTATTTCACTTAACTTTAAATTGGGATCCACTTTTAATTTTGTTCTCTATTTATTTTTCAAATAAAACTGGGCAAAAACGCAATAAAAATTCAATAGCTTTGTTTCAAACGCCTTTAAATTCTTTTTTTTTCGGGGGGGGGAGATTTAAGCCAAAAGTGTGTGAGTTACAAATACGTTATTTTTTAAATCTTCAGTTAGGGTTCGATCACAGGAAGCTTCTATCAATCGCTCTTTTTCTTCACGAGATTTTTGAATTTAATAGTTAAAAATATTCTGTTTCTTTGCGTACCACCTATTTTTCTGTTGCGTACCACCAGTTGAGAATCGCTGTTATAGACTGTAAAAATAACGTAATTCATCGATGTAAAATTTCCTTTACTTCGATATATAGATATGTGTGCTCATTTATTATCGATATTTAAGATTTCATTTATTTCTAATGATGCCGCTTAAAATAGTTACCATGAAAAGGAAAGAAATACGTAATTATTTTATAAGTTCTGATATCGTAATTTCATAAAAATATTTAATATTACTAATGAAACAAACGTTCAAATTCATTTTTATTTAAATCAATCATATTAAAAGGTTAAAAATATATTTTTAAGAACTACGTTTGTCGCTCTTCAATCCCTTAGTTTGTTATTCAGTAATAGACGATTAAATCCGAAAGTTAAATACCTTATGTTTTACTGAATGGCAACAGGCTGGCGGGTGCAAGATAAAAATATTTTACTTTGGGCATTGGCAACATATTGCTTTTAAATAGTTAAGTTTCTTTATTAAAATTGGAAGATAAATAAATATCTTACATTTTGTCGAATAACATCAATGTACTCGTTGGAGATCAAATTGTTTTATTACGCAGTGTTGCAACTTTCAAATCACCGAGTTTGTTGATCAAAAGTTCCTAAAATTCGTACAGAATGCTAAATAAATAAATTTTAAAAAAAATCGAGTTTAAAAATTCGGGCTTCGAGTGTAAAGACGTTAGGTATTTTTTGGAAGCAGGAGAGACAAAAAATGAGCAACCCTTTCGCCGGGAATCGAACCACAGACCTCTGGAATATGCGTCCAGCGTGGAGACCACTACACCACGAAAGCACGCTAAGAAGGCGGGAGAAATACCTTATATACTCCCCCTTTTAAAGGGTGACTGGGGTTTCTAGGGAACCCAATCGCCAAATCCTGTGTGTGAGAGAATCATCATTCACCACCCTTTTAGTTCGGGCGCCACTGTAGAGACATTAGGTTAATTGGAAGCAGGAAAGATGAAAAATGAGCAACGCCTTCGCCGGGAATCGAACCACGCACCTCTGGATACGCGCCCAGCGTGCAGACCACTACACCACGAAGGCACTCTGAGAAGGTGGGAGAAATACCTTATACGAGTTGCGCATGTTCGGATGGATGACCACGTGCGTTCAAAATTGGCTGCCTCTAGGTACCGCGGTTTTTCTACAATGCGAGGAACATACGTATTTATAGATTCTTCATTCTTTAATAAAAGAGATTAATTTTCAAGTAAAGAAGCAAGTGACAAATGACGGAGGACGCAAGCACCACCCCTCTAGCGGTTAATTGGTATAGCGCCGCATAGCCCTTGTCTAGAGCACCCCAAGATGGTATGGGGAAGGGTGAGTAGCGACATGAACCCCTAACACCAGCCGCCGATTTAAAATACAGTGCCATACAAGGGTCTTGGCAGATAATACATTGCCATACAATAATATTTTGGTTCATACAGCATGTTACAATTGAGGTACATATTACGTATGATGGCATATTACAAATAAGGTACACAGTACATGATCTTACATATACAAAGACAAATACATTTAAAAGATGCATATTACATTACATTAATTTGATTATGTGCATGGGAATATTTTGAAGCAAATAGTTATTATACATATGAAGCTATTATTAAAATAAAATTATTATTGTTATTTAAAAAATTCGTAACTGGGAGTATTTATCTTGGCTTAATCCTAGTATACGGTACATAGGGGATCTGGCGACTTTTGGGGACATATGATGAGCAGTAAACGAGTCATTTTAGTGTTGGCGACGATTTTCAAAACCACGCCAAGGCCGTACCGTATAGTAGAATTTTACCGTTATCTTTTAACAAGTGCGGAAAAAAGTTATAGGATAAAATCTGTATCTTTGAATAAGATTCATAATATCACAGTGTCAATTAATTAGCTCTTCCATAAATTTTTTGAAGCATTTGTTTTTAATGGCAATGAAAATAGATAAATTGCTGTTCCAAATGATTACAATCTTGAGCTTTTTCTTCAGATTCTTGCATAATTAATATCATAATAAAGCTTGTTCAGTTAAGGTTTTTTTTTTTTTTTTTTTTTTTTTTTTTTTTTTTTTTTTTTTTAGCAAGAAACGTCAAAAGTGTACAATACTGTTGTCAGGTTTCGAACCCTGGACCTCTCGAGTACGCGTCGAGTATGCTTCCAATTATACCACGAAGGCATGCCGAAAGTAGGGAGAAAATAACTCATAAGATAATTATGGGAAATATATTAACGGTCCATATGAAATTGCTTTGAGGACCACCAGTCTGACTACTAATTAAAAGAGGAACTCATAACTCATAACAGCATGCGTATTAATGCAAATAAATTATTCTTAAGTGTAAATATAGAGGGTGTTTACCCATTTTTATAACAATTTCGGAGCCGTCTAAAAGTTTTTTAAAACCTAAAAGGTACTTTTTAAATGTTCCATAACATAGCCTTTTTCTGGTCTACGAGTCTGCATCGTGATTTCCATGATAGAAGGGTTTTCCATAAAATTTCCAGTATTATTGATTTCCATTCCTTTTCCACTAATTTTCAGAGTCCATCCATTGTGAGGAGTTTGCGCTTAGAAAGAAACTCTTTTCCAGATATCAAAGGCACCGTAGTTCATAGGTGAGATGTCAGGACACTTCGCAGAAATATGTTGAAAAGGTATATATACACAATACTTGTATCAGTCTTCATTTTTTCAAGGAAAGAGTGGTACTTTTCGAAGTAGGACTTGTTGTTTAGTCTTGATGTAGTTCCACTCTTTGAAAGCCTTTGGGATAAAGAAATGAAATTTTTTCTGCTAATATCATTTAATATCTTGTATATAACTTGATAATACGTTAAGTTGATTTTATAATTTTTCCCCATTCTTCTTATTTGTAATTTCTCTTCGTAAGGGAATCCTGCGACAATCATAAACGACACACTGAAATTTTCATTGCGCATTGCTAGAACCAGGTTTGCACACTTTTTCTTTTCGTTTTCGATGACAAATAGACCTTTATTCATTGTGGTAATTTAAACAAACCCATGCTTCATGGAGAGTCAGCATATATTTCCAGTTATCTTCCGCTAGTTTTCATATACGGTTCTACAGACTGCTCTGCGTTGCCCTCGGCAAAAGTTGGTGAACATTATACTTTTTAGTTGTAAGTCTTGGTTTATTATTTTATTTATCGTTGGTACAGGTGTACTTAAAGACTTTGCAGTTGATTTCTGCATCGGTGGTGTTTTCCTTTTTACTGGCTATTTAACTTTAGTAACATTAGAAACAGTACGTACCATTTTCGGGTAATCGTTTGGAGTCTTCTAGTAATGATTGACAGTTTTTCGCTTTCCAATGAATAATGTTTCTTATTTTGCACTCAGAAATTTTAATATCGTGTATTTCAGAACATTTTTTAATTATGGAAGAGAAATATTTCTCTTCGTAAAGCATATTCTTCAATCCACAGCTCGTTTACATGAAACATTTTGAAAGAAGAATAAATTTAAAAGTAACAAATGATATTTCTCGTTTCAAATAAGCTGTTACCAAAAATTTTTATTCCAAAACATTTGCTTTTTTTTGTTCTTTATCGAAATTGTTCTAAGCATGCATAAACACTCTATATCAGGGTTGACCAAACTTCATGTCAGTAAGAGCCGCACTTTTGAATTCAGGAATGTTTGAGGAGCCGCATTTAGATTTTCTAAAGGCCACAAGTTCATATTTACATCGTTATAGAAGTAGTGGAGGAGGTTTTAAATTTAAAGAAATCCTGATAATTTTGTAAAAAGGGTCTAAACTAATTAATTGCTTCCTTTTGGACACTGAATAGTTTTAGTTTACCATATTTCATACTTATATTTTATATTCATGAACCTCACAAATTGCCAGCGAAAGCCGTGTCAGGCTCGCTGCCGCACACTGGCCACACCTTCTCTATATATTCCTAAATCTATTTCATATTAAATGAAAGCTGAATTTATAGAAATATTCTGCTACTTAAATTCGACTCTCAGCTGTTTACACTAAATCTAAACAAGTTAAGGACTTCTGCACTAAAAGTCGAGGATTTATATACACAAAGTCTATGGTTTCTGCATATGGATGATATTTGAATTTAAGTCGGCTTATAAAATTGGTAAAAAGTGGAGAAAAATATGCGAGTACATATGGCATGTATGGATCTTAAATTCCTATTGAAATTGATATATATGGATACTTGGTAAAGCTGTTTGGTAGTAGGTGAAGAAGGTATAGAATCTCGCTCTCTTTGGAGGCATAAATTGTAGACTCTATGTAGAAGACGAAGTAGCGAATACTTGCTATGTCTTTGAAGAATAAATACTGCAAAAGAAGGTTTTAAAGAATCTTTTTATTTGAACTAAATTTAACAAGATGCACGCACTCGATGCTGACAATTTACCACCACTTGTGGCTGAACTAAATTTAATAGAAAATAAAAAATGTAACGAATCACACTAAATTTGAATGGCTAACGACTGACTCCTTAGACCGCTTACAGCCTAGAATATCGGTATAATCTGAAAGGTGTCTAACACTAGCCAGAAAGCTAATTTCAAACACGCAGCATAAACTCGAAACTTACGCCGCTACTACTTTCACGAGCTCTTGAAACGCAGCTTAAATACTGCTTCTGAAACGCGCTTAGGTTTTGCATACTATGCCATTAACAAATTACATTCCTACAGGAAACTGAAATCAGGAGGGACAGGACAGTCAAGCTAAAAATAATTGGTTAGATTTTAAAAAATAATAATAATAAGGTCTTTATAAAGAATGTGAGACACTTGGACCTGTCCCCTGGGATTCTTCCTCAAAACTGGGACGGAAGTCGTTTCGTCACCTATAATGCGCCGAAGCCCAAGCGAACGGCATATGGAGTCCTGCGCTCCTAGCCAAGATAAAATTTGTGGATTTGTTCTAATCTTAGTATAAGACAGAGGAGGTAAGCCGCAACAAAACCAACTACTTGCATTTTACCAACTACTCTAAATGTTTATATCTAAACGAAAGATATAAGAAAACATTTAAGAGTTTTTCGTTAGGTTTAGATTCGAACCAAGAAAGTATCGGAAAGATTCGAGTTTTCTATTTTTCTTAACGATTCTTGGAATGTTATATGAAAATTCTAATGTCTTATTCCTACATAAAAATTATAGCAATTAAAGCAAAGAAGTGGATGCAACTGAACACGAATCGAACAAAGGAAACGAAACCTTCTAGTCTGATAACAAGCGAGTTTATCGATGTTATCAAATGACAGGAAACTGCCCTGTTCCTTGTTAAAATCTAGGCTGAAAATAATCAGAAATTAGGAAAGAAACATCCCTTTTAGATAAGAAAACATAGAATGATAAGATAACTAATTAACAAATACTATTTCAAGCACAAATAAAGTGTATTAAAAAACATTCATATAGTGCATAAATTTTGCTAAAATTGAATTACTCTATCGCGCTGCTCTGTATAGTTAAAAAGGGTACGAATAAAGATTAAATAAATTTATTTATCTTTATTCGAATAAAGATAAATAAATTTTAAGAGAAAGCTACACCGCAAAAGTGAAACTACAAGAAACATAAGCTTTTGAAAATAAACACAGTAATTCACATAGTATTAAAACTTAATCATTAACAATTTTGGAAAGCCGGATTAACCGGGCCCTACCTAAAATAAGTTCTATTTTTTTACGGAGCGATGGAAAAAAATGCTACAAATTTGAGATTTTTTTTTAATATTAAGACAGTTATTCAAGTAAAATTTAACTATTTTCGTTTATGGTCGTTGTAACTATTTTCGATTAATGGGCGTTGTATTAATTACACTGCGGGTTAACCAGGCCTTGTCTAAAAGAAATTGTTTGTTGCGGAGCGGACAAAATTACACAATTTGAGTTTTTTTTAAATACGAATTTTCTATTTAGTTAGATATTTTTAGCAGAATTATAATTAAAATTGTTCCATTTCCCCGTGCAACGCAGCGCCTGACAAATTTTAAGAGAAAGCTACGCCGCAAAAGTGAAAATACAGGAGTATATGCATTTAACATTGTATAAATGGATATCTCTTTTATTTGTATTGAAATCGAATAAATGTAATTGATCACTAATTTAGCTGTAACCGTAAATCCATCGTCCTGTTGGCTATTCCTTGCGACCGACTGAAATCTATAAAAAGCGGGAGAGAGACATTTCAGCTCGGTTGCTTAGTTATTGTTATTGCAAGTTGTTTAGAAAACTGCTGTTGTTATTGCGAGTTCAGCCGAAGAGAGACATCTCAGCTGAGTTGCTTAGTTACTGTTATTGCGAGTTGTTTAGATAGCTGTTGTAGTTATTGCGAGTTCAGCCTGAGATCGGATTAGCTTTCTCTTTGCATTGCTTTATATTTTAACGTTTATAGTAGTTTGATTTGGATTTGGATTATTTAATTATGGCAAAGCACACGAGGGCTATCTGCCTAAAGGCAGGGATGCCTTCGTGGAGGACTTTCTAAGGGAAACTGGCTCGTATACAAGTTACACATGGGGAAAACCACAAAAACGCCCATGCAGCCAGCCCGTTCGCGGGATTCGAACCTCGGACCGAACTACCAGTGTTCAGCGTCTTTACCGCTCGGCCGCTGGTGGGCCTATAGTAGTTTGAAGTATAACTACTGATTACATTGCGTGATATTATGAACATTTGTACGAATATCTCTGGGGAAATTCCAACGTTCTGTTATATTTCTTTTGATAAAAATAAATTTTATTTACCTTTTATCAGACTTGTGCATTCAATCTATTACAAACCCGTACGCCGCAACATTGATTAAAGAGCATAGCATTAAGCCGGTTACGGATTAACCGGACCCTGTCTAAAAGAAGTATTTGTTTCTTTTGATGCAATGAAAAAATTACCGTCAACAGCGTAAAAGAAAACTGTTTCCAGAAAATACAAAATGGAAAAAAAAGTGCGTGGCATGATGGGAATAATAACAGATGATGTTAGAACATTTGGCAGTCGTTTTTAATCCCAAGAATACGTAATTTAATTGTATGATAATCCTACATATATAAATATTCAACATCTTTAGACAATTTAAAAGTCAAACAACAAAAAACAGCGTTATATTTGCAAATTTTCATAGGACTAGTTTCCATGATTTTACCGAACCATCATCCTCAGCTGCCAAAGTGCAAATGAACTAGATAAGATAGAGTGATAAAATAAGATAAGAATGGCTGAACAGGAGTTAAGCTACTGGCGCCATCTATTGATGAAACGAGAACTAAAACTTAATTTCGTTAAAGTTTGAAGGCAAAAATGAATTGGAATTAGGGTCGTGAACTAGAATAGAAAGATTTTTTTGAATGTGAAATGCCTCTAGAAAAACTAATTCACAAATGGAAGACGTTTTTGAATAATTTTGGCTGCAGAAAAATTGAAAGTGTGATTTTAGGGCCAACAATGATGGGCAACAGAGGACTTTTGTGTTTTCTTTTCTTAACATATGTCTCTTGTTCTTTAACGCGAAATTTTAAGGCTGTATTTGTTTGACCAATGTAAATTAAACCACACTAGCAAGGAATGTAAATACCCAAGGAATTCATATCCGGAATGGGGTCCTTGAGTATGGAACTCGGAGTTTTATTGATAGGATAACAAACGACTTGAAAGTTAAATTTCTGTAAAATACGTCCAATTTTGTGGCTAATTGATGGAAAGAAAGAAATGACAACAGAATTCTTATAATCTCCTAAAACAAGAGAGTGCCTTTTGGTGTGCTGAGATGAAAATTTTTTAACTGTTTGGTTAATAATGTTGGGTGAAAAGCCCCTGTCAATAGCTACTGCTTTTAAATAGTTTAGTTTTTGATCAAGAGACAATTTGGAGGAGCAAACTTGAAGTGCACGTAAAACAACATGCGCATCAGTGGTTTGAAGATTCAGTGGTAATCCAACTTTGTCGAAAGTGTAGTGGTTCAGCAAAACATAATATCACATCAAATATGAATAAATCAAAAATCAATAATCACCACTCAATAAAATATAAACTGATTTAATTAAATATAATAATATCACAATCTCAGAATCTCACATCATCACTGCATCACACCTTCCATCGAGTAACTGAACACAATAAAGGCGCTCTCCGCACCCTCTAGCGTTAGGCGGGTCTTACCACAACAGTTTTTTTCGTTTTGTTTTGTTTTCTGTTGTTGTTTGACATCTAAATTAATACTTGTTCGGCGTGTTATTTCATCTTAATCTTTAGGCAAGTTTGAATTCAATGGTATTACTCGAGCTTTGTTGTAAGTTGTAAATGGTAAAACTCTCCCAAAATTTATGTTTTCCTCAATTCTCAAACTGTTAAATTTATAACATTTTCTCTCTTTGTTTAATTTACTTGTTGCTTTTGATACATTTTACAGGAAACGAAAGATAAAGAGTTATGATATAATACAGCAAATAATTTGCCAAAAAGTGCGTGCTGAATATGGAAAGAATCTTCCTGACATCGGATATGAAACCAACGGCATTATGGCGTTTATTGTGTTGTATTGGGCTAATTCTTTCTCAGGTAAAAAATAACCAAGTTTTTTTTTTTAATTTTATTTCTTCTGGACAAAATAGCATTTTCTGATAAGATAAATTCGACTTGTGTATTATCATGATTGTTATTGTTTGCAAAGATAGGATATTCTTAACTAAAATTATCGAATCTTTTCTTTGCAATTATTAGTATTTTAGGTAAGAGTTAAAGGTAAATTCGTCAGCATTTTTTGTTATTTTTTTTCATTCCAGAGCTCAAATTACGGCGCTCACTGAAGCCCGGTTCCGGTACTTCTTAGTTTTGAGTATAAATCATAATTTTAATCGGAGCACATCGGAGCCCTAAATAAGAAGGCCCCGGGACTTTCTTTTATGTAAATGAACAAAAATTTCAGTAGGAATTTAATCTAGAAAATTTTATATTTAGTAATAAAAAAATCTAAAAGCTTTCAGATGTTATATTACGCCAAAACGGGCTTTTTATTTAAATTTCTACTATTAGCTCACACTCTCCCTATATCTTCAAATTTTCAATTGTTAATAAACTACTTTTTATTCATCCACTCATGTTCAAATATATTTTTTTAAACATGTAGTGGATGACACATTTATTTATTATTTATTTTATTTTATTTTATTTTATTTATTTTTGTTGGCCTAAGTAGGAATTTAATTTCTTTGTATATATTACTTGTTTTATTTAGACACACACACATTTCGAGAGCATTTGGGCTAACCCCACATTGTGCTAAAAATGTTTAAAAACAGCATACCTTTAGAATTTGCGATAGTCAGTTTCGCGCACTGGAGATAAAAAATGTTTTATTCCCTATAGTGTTGCCACTGCTCGATTTGAGATAGTTGAGTTTTTTAATCAAAAATTTGCTTTCATATTTTATAAAAATAAGTTTTATAAAATATGAAAATGACAATAAAACAAATCCCAAATTCGGGTTTCCAAATACCCATGTTCCAGTGGAGAACCATGTTGCTCAAAATTTGATCCTCCGTTGTACCGTTGTTTTTTTCACAAGGCGAGAAACCTACATACATTCATGTTGATTATTCATTATTTAGTTTCTTTAAATATACTATTTGGTGGTAACAATTCCAAAAGTGATTCAGGGTTTTGAGACTAATAGCCCTTTTGGGCTAAGGCCCATATGGCCTAATTATGTTAAGAAACGCTTATTAAGTTTTAAGCTTTTCCCATTTTATTAAATTTTGACTTAAATTATTTAATTACTTTAATCATTCATTACTTAATTATTTTAATAATTAGTTCAAAGGGGCTTTGTCCCTGAAAGACTATTGTTTTCGTTTTGCGATTTGCGCACTATCACTATAAATGTCGTTTGACTTTTCAAACTGTTGCCACCGAATCTTAGAGTCCTGAATTATATTTGAAGAAATTAAATAATGAAAAATCTGCATAAATGTATGTATATTTCTCGTATTGTGATAAAAACAACGATACATACAGCCATCGAATTTTCAATGACGTAATCCTACTGCGAATATGGGAATGTGGAAGCCCAAATTTGAAATTTGTTTTATTATCGATTTCATATTTCGTAAAACTTTAACGAATTTTTGATTAACAAACTCAAGGATTTCAAAAGCGAGCCATGGCAACGTTGTACAGAAAAAAACATTTTTATCTCCAGCCCGTGAGACACTGTATCGAAAATTGGCCCACCAGCGGCCGAGCTGTAAAGTTGCTGAACCCTGGTTGTTCGGTCCGAGGTTCGAATCCAGCGAACTGGCTGGCTGCATGGGCGTTTTCGTGGTTTTCCCACATGTGTAACGTGTGTACGAATCAGTTTCCCTTAGAAAGTCCTCCACGAAGGCATCCCTTCCCTTAGGCAGATAGCCCTAGTGTGCTTTGCCATGATTAAATAAACCAAACCAAACCTGTATCGGAAATTCTAAAGATATGATCAATTTAAAACTATTTTGCGATATCGCTCTTGAACTGAATTTTATGGTTTAAGTGCGAAGAACGTGATATTTAATAAATAAAGGTAACAGACAAAATGTTAAAAAAACTCCCCTTTGGACGTAATTTAAAATCTGAAACCTTTCAGATTTTCTTTTTTTTAATTTTTTAATTATTAATGATTTTATTAGTTATCTTATTTATATATTTATTCTTGTTCCTCTTTTCTAACGGTGTTCCTTCGGCACTTCTAATTTTAGAAATTAAGCCCGGTTTCATATATACATAATAACACTGTTTTTATGTGCGATCTATTTTTCTTATTGAATCAGATATAGCGAACGAAACTTCCGGTCCTTTGAAGTTCAATATAGCGGAATTCGACTGCATTTAATTTGTCTGTTTGTTTCGGTTAATCTTGTTATTTTTACATATGATAAAAGAAAGAGTATGTGTGTCTTTCGTTCGTCCTGCACTTAATATATGTGTAAGGAAGAATGTGTGTTTGTTTGTTTGCGTTATTGATTTCTTACGATTCATTTTTTGCCACATTTAATCGACTAAAATGGAATATAGGTGAAATATTGGATGGAACTTGAGCTTTTACGCCAATTTGGTAAGAAAGACGAAAATCCGTTAAAAACTGCCTACCATTGTTGCTGATATAATGAGAAAGAGTGAATGAGTGAGTTTTTTTGGCGCTAAAACCAAAGATGATTATGATGCGCCAAACAAAAGTTGGGATGACCTAATTTAATGAAATCAAATACTTATTAATAAAATATTAAAAAAGGATACATGTACCAAATCCAGAGCATGAACTCATATAAAAAACCAGGTAAAAGCACGTATTAAAATACAATACACAATCTGCAGAACAGATTACATTAAGTAATAAAAGCCAGTCTCTTTTAAGTAATAAATAAAATTGCAATTGAACTCTCTTCCGATGAAACTATTGGCTCTGACTCCAAATTAATCTTTATTTTTACAACTCTGTTTCATCAAATAACGTCAATCCAAGTTTTAAATCAAAATAATCTTTATTTATTTATTTATTTATTTTTTCAAAATGTAAACAGCTCTTTAGAACAATATCATTAGTAATCTTTTGTTGCCATTCCAAGAACAACAAAAATTGAATAATCTTTTTGTTGCCATTCTGAAAACAACAAAAAAAACAAATAAAACGATATTAATCAGTATTTAAAGTTTCTATGTAAGTTCAAGCCACAACAGTAATCCCTTCCCAGTAACTAAGTTACGGTAGAGCATAATATTACCTTTAAAACACACTATTTACAAATATATATATATTAGCATTTATATGTATCAATATATATATCCCGAAATCGCACAGGGGGTTTTATTGTCCGCCCTACACGCGACTGTTTTGCAGGAAACTTGTTAATTTTAGGAAGTAAGTCTGTTGGAGGTTTGACAGGTTGTCTAATTGACGTTGTTGGTTGCTTCGTAGTAATGTCTGGTGTTTGCAAGAAATATGCAGGCTTTAATCTATCAATAGACACTGTAACATCTTTGTGATTAATTTTTACTGTAAAATATTTTTCTTTTCTGTCAACCACTTGAAAATTATCATCATAAGGGGGTTCTAATTGCTTTTTAACTCTGTCTTTGCGAATAAACACATGCGATGTTGTTTTTAAGTCTTTAGGGACGAATATTTTTTGGACATATTTATCGGATATTTTTCTTGGTCCAATTATTTCCATAGTTTCTTTCAGCTGTTTGATAAAAATGTCAGGTGGTGTAGGAGTTGTGCTACCGTGGAAAAATTCTCGAGGTAATCGTATATTTTGTCCATAACCCATTTGAGCAATGGTATATGCAGAATCTTCTTGCATAGCTGTGCGTAAGCCAAGAAGAACAGTTGGAAGTGTTTCAGTCCAGGCCAGGCTATTGTGTGCCATAAGCGCGGTCTTGAGAGATCTATAGAGGCGCTCTACCTTCCCATTTGCTTGGGGGTGGTAAGCCGTTGTATGTTGTAATTTTATTCCACACATTTTTGATAGGTTGCTGAACAACTCTGAACTAAACTGTGGTCCACGATCTGTGACTAGGCGACAGGGCGTCCCAAATTAGAATAAAATCCAAATAGAATAAAATGCTTTAGCAACTGTGTCTGCGGAAATGTTGTTAAGTGGAATCACTTCCATCCAGTTAGAGTACCGGTCAATGCAAGTGAGGTAGTAAATATTCCTATTTGATGGTGGTAGGGGTCCAATTAGATCAATATGCACGTCACAAAATCTTTCTGAAGGCAGTTGAAAATCACCGAAACTTGATTTTGTGTGTCGATTAATTTTACTTCTTTGGCAAACCATGCAAGATCGAGTCCAAAGCTGTACATCTTTACGGATACTTGGCCAAATAAATTTAGACGATAAGAATTTTACAGATGACTTAATACCAGGATGGGCTACGTTATGCATTTGATAAAATATTTTATTGCGATAACTGTTTGGAATATATGGTCTGATATTATTCGTTGAAGTTTCACACCACAAAGACTTCCCAGAAGGTAGCGGATACTGCTTGAAGTTCAGGGAATTCGCTGATGTCTTCAAATTTTGCAATTCTTTATCCACAATTTGTTCATCTGCAATTTTGTCATAGTCAATCAAAGAAATTTCTTCAATTCTCGATAAAGTATCTGCAACGATGTTGTCCTGGCCTTCTACGTGCTGTATATCAGTTGAAAATTGAGAGATGTATTGTAAATGTCTAAGTTGACGAGGTGATGCTTTTTCTAGCTTTTGTTTAATTGCAAAGATTATGGGTTTATGGTTTGTGAATATTGTAAATGTTCTTCCTCCAGTAAAAATTTAAAGTGTTTGATGGAGAGATAAATTCCAAGTAACTCTCCTATCGTAAGTACTGTAATGCTTTTGTGCTTCGTTTAGTTTTTTGGAATAAAATGCAACAGGTTTCCATCCGTTATCTTCAAATTGTTGATGTACCGCTCCAATCGCCGAGTCTGAAGCGTCAGTATATAATGACAGAGGTAGTTCATGATTCGGGAATGATAAGAGTGTTGTATTGACTAAATCATCTTTGCATCACTGAAATTGTTCCTTAGCTTCATCGGTCCATTGAATTTTCCGTTTATCCTTTTTTCGGGCTCCTTTAAGGTAGTCGTATAGGAGAGATTGGTTTTTTGATGCATTTTTTAAATATCGCCGATAAAATTAATAAGGCCTAAGAATGCTCTGAGTTCGTGAATGGTTGTTGGAGCTTGTATTTAACAATAGTTTGGACTTTCTCAGATAAAGGTCGTGATCCTTAATAATGAGTAATTAAATAACCCAAGAATTCTATTTCTTGTGTGCCAAAGATGGATTTGGAAACATTAATGCGGAGTCCATAGGCATTTAATCTCTCAAATACAAGCTTCAAATGGATTTTGTGTTGTTCTTCACTAGCAGATGCTATCAGAATGTCATCTAAGTATGGAAAAGCGAAATTTAGACCAGAAAGACTGTATTTATAAATCTTTGGAACGTTGCTGGTGCATTTTTCAAACCAAAACTCATAACATTAAATTCACATAATCCAAAAGGAGTAGTAATAGCAGTTTTACATCTGTCTTCTTCGGCAACGGCACTTGGTAGTAGGCTTTAAATAAATCTATTTTGGAATAAATATTCGTACCTTTTAAAATATGATGGAAGTCCTCTATCCTAGGAATAGGATATCTATCAGGAACTGTTCTATCGTTTAGCTGTCTATAATCTCCACATGTGCGAAGAGTACCATCTTTTTTTAGCACCACATGCAGAGGACTTGCACATTGAGAACTCGAGGGTCTTATTATGTTATTGTCCAACCATGAATTGGAACTCTTGCTTAACTACTGCAAGCTTTCGAGGATCCGACTGTCTTGCTTTAGAATGCACAGTTTGACCATGTGTTATGATATGATGTTGAACATTATGTGTTAAACCCGATAAGAATAAATTTGGTTTGCATAAGTCTGGGTATTGTTTTAGAAGAGTATTAAATTTTGTTGAATGGGTTACTGTAAAAATATCACTATTTTTACTGATGGAAGCAACTTCACCAGTTACCTTTAGTTGAGTTACTCCATCAATCAGTTTCTTGCCATGTAAATCAATTACTAATTTAAATTTGTTAAGGAAATCAGCTCCCAAAATTCCATTATTAATTTTAGCTACTATAAATGGAAATTGGAATTCACGCCAAAGTCATAAATCAAGTGTTAACATTTTTATACCATATGTTTCGATTTCGGTATCATTCGCTGCATACAACTTGAAATCCGTGGATTGTTTGTCTTGTGCTGACGCAGGTAAAATGCAAACATCTGCACCACTATCTACTAAGAAACGCACTTTCGATTTTTTATCTCTGATAAATATGCGAAATTGGCGACACTCTGGAACATTATCGGCAGTAGAGCTTGCCGCCTCTTCTACTGCGCATTGTCGTTTCCCTGATTAGATGATCTATTAGTTGACCAACTGCACGGCTGACTACATTTATCCTGATGACATTTGTTACCGAAACGGAAATGATAAAAACAATATTTTCCTTCAGGATTAATTCTTTTCCTAGAAGTACTGCGAGATCGTCTGCGGGACGGAGAGTTGTTTCTAAATCGTGGTCTCGATATATGAACAGTCATTTCGGCAATTCGCTGTTCAAGGGATTGAATTTTCATTAACAGTTCTGTATTCGAGCAATTATTAGCTGTTGATACACCACAAATCTCTTTAGAAGGCGTCATATCAGAAATTTTATCAGCCATGATAGCCAACTTGGGTAATTCTTCGTCACTAACAAGTATTATATTACGCATAGAATCCGGTAATTTCTCTAACCATAACGTTTTAATTAAATTTTCGAAGACATCCGATGTTGCAACAGATTTTAATTTTTGTAATAATTGACTGGGTTTCATGTTACCTAAATCGATTCCTGTAAGAAGTTTTTTAATTCTAGTACTTTCGCTTTCCTTAAATAAATCCAGAAGCCTTGTTTTGGATTCTGTATATTTAGTAGCGGAATTACTTGTTATGATATCCCAGATGTTCTCAACATATTTCGGTTCTAACTGTGATACTAAATAGTTAAATTTCGTTTCTCCCGAAATAATTCCATTTATCTTAAACTGAGCCTCAACTTGAAAAAAAGCCATATTTCTGGGCGATCTAACCAAAATGGAGGAATTTTGACACACTTACCTTGCACAGTTCCTGGGCAGGGCCCGTAACAGTTTTATCGTCTTCAGACATATTTACTTTAAAATCGAAAGTCCAAGTCACCAATTATTGGCTCTGACTCCAAATTAATCTTTATTTTTACAACTCTGTTTCATCAAATAACGTCAATCCAAGTTTTAAATCAAAATAATCTTCATTTTCGTTTTTATCAAAATGTAAACAACTCTTTAGAACAATATCATTAGTAATCTTTTGTTGCCATTCCAAGAACAACAAAAATTGAATAATCTTTTTGTTGCCATTCTGAAAACACGGTCGAGAGGTAAGTCACAGCTATTAAAATATTTCTTACGAAGACTATTAAAACTTGGACACTCAATTAAAATATGACGTACAGATAGATAAACATTACAATTTGAACAAACAGGCTCATTCTCACCTTTTAAAAGGTAGTTGTGTGTCACTCTAGTGTGACCAATTCTGAGGCGAGTCAAAAAAACTTCCTCCTTACGGTTTCTAGTTAATTCCCAATGCTCAATTCTAGGCTTTACATGTCTTAACTTGTTTTGAAGCTGAACATCCCAAAGTTGCTGCCATTTTTTTCGGATCTTGTCTTTGATTACACAACAGATGTCTCCAAAAGGGATGAGGCGAGTGGACAGTTAAACAGCACATTTCGCTGTGATATCTTCCATCTCATTCCCTTTTATCCCCACGTGACCGGGAACCCAGCAGTACAGGATTTCATATCCACGACTTGTTAAGTTTATATGTATCTTTAGAACATCCACTATTACAGGATTTTGAGTGTTGGAAAAAGCTTCTAATGATAAGCGCACTATAAGAGTCTGTATAAACTATAAACTTTTTATGGCTGAGCCTTGAGATGTACAGAAGACTATAATATATTGCAGTTAGTTCAGATGTTAAGACAGAGAAAGCATGGTGCAAGCGTCTGCCCTCCATGTGATCTTTAATTACAAATGCCATCCCGACATGATCTTTTGACTTGGATCCATCTGTGTATACTGGAAGATAACTGCTATATTTGTGCCTATGCTCAGCAAAGAGTTGTCTGTAAATGATCTCGTTAGTGCTTGCCTTCACGTGATGCTTGAAAACATCAAGAAGCTGAATCCGTGCATTTTCCCAAGGTGGGATTTTAAAATTCTGTACTGCTTGGGGGGTGCATATCAGAGAGGGAAAGTTCCTCAATGACAGGACGAAGTTTTAGAGGAAAGGTAGGAACACAAGATGGACGTGTTTCAAATAAAGTTTTACACACATTATCAAGTAAGCACAGCTTATTAGGATGTTCAGGTTGCGATAGAATATTAAAATATTGCAATAGGGACGAATACTCACGCCTCAGATAAAGTGATGGTTCGTTACAGTCAACATACAGGCTGTGGACAGGAGAAGTCCTGAAAGCTCCTGAACAAATCCGCAGAGCTTGATGGTGAACGGGATCTAGTTTTAACAATACTGATGACCGAACGGATCCGTAAACAACTGAGCCAATCTCAGTCCAATCTAGAGCGGACAAGCGCTCTGTAAATGCGAAGCATGGAGCAACGCTCTGCACCCCAGGAGATGTTCGCCAACACTTTTAAGATATTTAGCCTTTTTAAACACTTTTTTCTCAGGTTTAAAACATGAGAGAGGAAAGTCAATTTTTGGTCGAACGTCACTCCTAAAAACGTTACTTCAGGCGCAAATGGAATAATTGTACCATTCAGATATAACTCAGGCTCAGGATGGAGACCTCGCTTCCTACATAAGAGCACGCACAAAGTTTTTTGCTTGGAAAAAGAAAATCCCTGTTTGTTTGACCATTCTTGGATCTTATTCAAAGCCATCTGCAATTGCCTCTCTACGTATCTCATGTCTGCGCCTCGACAATTAATCTGTAAATCATCAACATATAGAGATCCCAAGATGGTGGGAGGAAGTTCTTTTAATACAGAGTTTATTTTTAAATTGAACAGGGTTACACTAAGCACACAGCCTTGAGGCACACCCTCTTCCTGTTCAAAAATATCCGACGAAACAGAGCCAACCCTTACTTGAAAAGTTCTAGTGTTCAAAAAATTAAGAATGAAAATTTGGTAGGTTGCCGCGCATGCCACTCTCGTGAAGATCCCGAAGTATACCGTATCCCCATGCTTTATCATAAGCTTTCTCAGTGTCAAAGAATAGTGACACAAGGTGACTTCTTACAAAAGCTTTTCGAATGGATGTCTCTAAGAGAAGCATATTATCTACGGTCGTTCTCCCCTTTCGAAAACCGCTTTGATAAGGCAATATAATATTATTCTTTTCCAAGAAGTAGACTAGGCGGCTGTTTACCATTTTTTCAAACAGCTTGCATAGGCAACTCGTAAGGGCAATTGGACGATAGTTGGAGGGATTCCTTGGATCTTTCTCTGGCTTAGCAATAGGAATTACAACAGCTCTCCTCCATGCACTTGGAAAATATGCTCCTTCCACACTGTTATAATGAGAAAGAATTGGTTTATTTTTCTATGGTATTTTTTATGTGGGTTCCCTGTCGCAACAGACTGAAAAATGTATGATTATGAATCGTATTTTTTGCATCGTTATTAGAGAAGGATTACAGCGGTACCGTTCTCTGTTTTGTTAGATATTACATTACTCTTAATCTAACTTAACTGGCATTGGGAACTTCCACTAGTAAATAAATAATAATAATAATAATAATAACTAAATGACGTTAAAACATCACACAAAAACTGAAATAATACCACCAAATATTGATTTAAAAATTTCAACAATATTTTCATTTAGATTGCATGTGAATCTGATGTACCGCCGGAGAGAGAAGAAGATGGTCGGCGGCCCATTTGGAATATTGCTCACATGGTTAACGCTATCTACCAGGTCGATTATTACCTTCGAAAGGGAGCCAACAGCGTAGAATTCGACGTAGAGTTCAACTCTGAAGGGAAAGCCATGCGTACATTTCATGGACTGCCCTGCGACTGCTTCAGGAATTGCTACCGAACTGAAAACTTCATCGATTACATTGACTACCTGAGCAAAGTAACAACACCAGGTAATTACGCATTAATTGCAAAGCAAACAGATAGCTAGATATCGCTATAACGAACCTGGTTTATAAAGAAATCCAGGATATAATAAACGAGCTTTTTAGACCCGTTCGCGTAATAGCAAACCGCACATTGATTTGATCAATGTTAACGAATTCGCTTACTGCGCATGCTAAATGGTGTACCATTGGCGTGGGAGGAAACACTGGCAACTAAGCATAAGCAACCCTACACAAGCCTGTGAGTCATGTTGGTTTTACTGTTTACAATTGCGATACTACGGAAATTTGTGTGTGCTTATTGCATGTGCTTCTGTTTCATTTCATTTTGGTTTATTTTGTTCATAAACATTACTTTTAATATCAGTTATTAGTGCAAAGGGGTTTTCCACCTGAGGGACTACTGTTTCGTTTGGCGTCGAATCACTCTGAATGTCAGTTTCACTTTTCAAACTGTTGCCACCAAATATTATTGCCCTGTAAGAATTGGAGGCTCCCTTCAGCCCACCTGGACACGAGTGTCCCCATAGCTCAAAAGAAGGAGCCACGTATCTCCACAAACGAGGGCAGCCAGTAACCCAGCCACCCCCAAACAGCAAACAAAAAATGCTAAATCAAAAATAAGTAAGCACATCGAACACAAAATTACAGACCAACAAACAAAACAAAAAATTCATAAAGACAAATTTACAACATAGAACACCCCAGATATTCCAAAACCCATACAAATACAAAATTCAATTTTAACAAAAGATTCCTACCAGCGCCCTATTTGCATTGATAAACTTCATTAGAGCAATACAATATGATTTAAAAACTTTAAAATTAATGACATTTATATTATTAGATTAAAAATAGTTGTTATTATGCTTTAGAAATAACAAATTTGGCCCTATCTCAAAAGTAAATGAGTATTATTTTGCGCATTATTCTAGTTTATATTAAAATCAGTAATGTTAAAAATCTGTCTAATAGGGGCTGTTAAACTACAATCAATCACAAAATGCCTAGCATCATTATTGCCCTGTATTATATTTGAAGAAATTAAGTAACGAAGAATCTACATAAATGTATGTATGTTTCTCGCATTGTGATAAAACAACGGTACCTAGAGCCATCCAATTTTGAATGACGTAATCGTACTGCGAATACGGGCAACTGGAAGTCCAAATTTGAAATTTGGAATTTGTTCTATGATCGATTTCATATTTTGTAAAACTTTAACGAATTTATGATTAACGAACTCAAGGATTTCAAAGCGATGAATGGCAACGTTGTACAGAAAAAAAAAAAATATCTCCAGCGCGCGAGTCTCTGTATCGGAAATTCTAAAGATAGGCTCATTTTAAAACTATTTTGCGATATTGCTGTTGAACTGAATTTTGTGGTTTAAGTGCGAAGAACGTGATATTTAATAAATAAATGCAACACACAAAATGTTAAAAAAACGCCCCTTTGGACTTAATTTAAAATCTGAAATCTTTCAGAATTTTTTTTTCGCAGTGTGCATATGTTGATTTAAACTTTAGAGTACTTTATTCACCGCGTGTCAGTTTCATTATCCATTATGTGTATCACTACAATAATTGCAATAGCTCCTTGACTCGAAATGAGCGGAACTTGAAATATATTGAATACCTCTATATTAAGATTTTATTAGGAAATCCCATTCACAATAACGAATAGTTTTGTAATTAAGAATCCGACTATAATATCAATTTGTTTTTATGCATTTTTAGGAGACGAAAACTTTCGAGAAACTTTAGTGCTACTCTTCATGGATGTCAAACTTCGGGATCTGAGTCGCAAAGCTAAGTTCCGAGCTGGTGAAGACATTGCTAAGAAGTTAATTAAGTATTACTGGAAAAAAGGTACTGTTTATGTCTTCTAATACTTCTAGTTAATTTTACCAAGCATGTCATTTCATTTTGCATTGCATTTTCTGGAATAAGGATTGGATTACCGCTGAGCTTTAACATTTATCTTAACAAGTAAATACACTTGACTCAGCAAGTCCCTTATTTGTATTGCCTTGTTTTCCCTTGGTTTAACAAGTCCTCCACTGGCATAACAATGTATTGAAGTGTTTTAAAGAAATTTCACCATTTTGGTAAAACACCAAACTTTTTATTTTTCACACTTACATAAAACTGAAACATTTTCGAAGCGAGGATTAGACGCATCTTCAAGTAAGCAACTTTTAAGCGCGAGGACTCACTCGATATTTATTTGGTAGTTGTAGCAACGAACAAGACGCTAGTCTTAACCCTCTGACTGCTTAATTTGTGGACCGAAATCACTTCCAAAATTGAGTGTTATATAGATATATATATTATAGATATAATGTTGTATGATCTTAAATTCATTTAGTGCGAGATTAATTTAATTCCAGTTCCCGTTAAACATTTTTAACAATTTACATTCAAGTTATTTAAAAACATGTTTCGAAATAGAACTTACTAAGTATGGATTCATTCTTTTCAGATCATTCCACTATAATTAATCTTAGGAGATAATATAATCAGTATTATTTAGTAAATAAATTATATATATTTTAAATCTATATATATTGGAGAACTGAAAAATGCACTCCTTCTTTTTAAAAAATATTTTTTATATAGATTTTTATCATGAGAAACTAAGTTTCCAGAAAAATCAATTTCAGATGTTATCACAAAAAAAAAAAAAAAAAAAAAAAAAAAAAAAAAAAAACTCCTTTTAAATAAATTTCAGTCGAATTACAGTTAATTTCTATTTATTGCATAATATAAAAAGTAAAATGTATAAAATTTAATAAAATATAAAGCGCTGAGGGAAAAATACTTTAGAAATGCAGTTTAGCATGATAGAGTTCAAAACAGGGTTCAAGGCAAAGTCCAACTTCACAGTCTTTGCACCAGATTCAATAAATCTAATTAATGATCAATCTAATTATTAATCTAATCAATAAATCTAATTAATAATTCAATAATTTAATTAAATAATCAAGATAATCACTGAACGTTTTCTAGCAGCCATTTCTGTAAAATTTTGCTACATTTGAGTTGCAGTGGAAATCGCGGGATGATCAGGGCCAGAGGGTTATACTCTTCCCCCATAGTCTCCCCCTCCCCAGTTGTGCGGACTTTTCTTGTTAAAATCATTAATGTCAAACAAATATCAAATTCATCAAATATATTAAAATTCGGCACAACACAAATAAAGTGCTGAAACTTACCTCTAAAAAATGTGCTGAATCTTACCTCTAACAAATACACTTAGCTAGCAGAGCAAGTACATGCAAATGCCTTTCAAACAAAATTTAATATTCTGATGGCAAAAGCAAATTAAGAGTGACTTTTTAAACTTCTTAGTATATATATATTTTTAGCTAGGAAATATCTGAGCACAACGACTTAAACTGTCTTTTGATGGTGCTTCCTTTTTCTATGCACATTTTCATAGTTAAGATTGGAAGACCAAAGCCCATCGTAATAATCTAAAATTAATCCCAGTGTTTTTATCTAACCACACTAATGGATAATGATAGGTCTGAATGATGAATTTATGAAGTCCACCTAGATAGAATTTTAACTTCAGTATTGCAAAGATAATAGGAGCACACTCTCTTTCAATCGTTTTGTATTTCTATTTGGTAGATGAAACGTTTTTCCTAAGAAACATTATTAGATGCTTTCCGTCATTAGCAATTTGTAAAGTTCCTTGGACAAATATTGGGTTGAAACTTAAGTAATCGCCTGCACAGCTACAATTTAGTATAGGAGAAAGAAAATTTCACAACATCGGCTTGCTGATCCTTTCAGGCTACTGATACCAGCTGGTGACATTATTTTTGATTGAATTAGTGGCAGCTGTATAGCGTAGCTGTGTAGCTGTTAGTTGTAGCTATGTAGCAGAGGCAGGTTGTTAGATTTTAAATTTTAATTGATTAATTTGATTTTGACTTGTATTAGGTTGAAACATGTATTAGGTAATGGCCGTTTTTTCAATTTAACAATTTTTATTTTAACAAAACGAAAAACAATAAATTAGTCAATAATATCTGAGTTTTTGGGCTTTCCTCATAGACCCAAGATGTCAAACTACAGTCGTTTGGCTACAATCCATTTGTTCGGCTAATTCTCGACTGGTTTAACGCGCGTCTTTGTGCAGAAATTGATTCAAATGCTTATAAATTATTTCTCCGCCTTCTTAGCATACCTTTGTGATGTGGTGGTCTGCACGCTGGGCGCGTATTCCAGAACTCCGTGGTTCGATTCCCGGCGAAACCGTTGCTCATTTTTCATCTATCTTGCTTCCAAAAAATCCTAATGTCTCTACAGTGGCGCCTGAACTAAAAGAATGGTGAATGATGCTCCACACCCAGAATTTGGTAATTGGGAGCAATATCACAAAATAATTTAAAAAGAGCATATCTTTATAATTTCCGATACACAGTCTCGCATGCTGGAAATAACAAAAGAAATTTCCCGCCTCCCATACAGTGCTGCCATTGATCGCTTTGAAATCGTTGAGTTTGTTTAAAGAATTCGTTGAAGTGTTTCAAAATATGGAATAGATAATAAAACAAATTCCAAATTAGGGCTTCCAGATGCCCATATTTGGTGGAGGATCACGTTCTTCAAAATTTGATGGCTAGGTACTGTTGCTTTATCACAATGCGAGAAACATACATACATTTATGCAGATTCTTCATTGTTTAATTTCTTTAAATATAACACAGGGCGATAATATTTGGTGGCAACAATTTGAAATGTGAAACGGATATTTGAAGTTTTCAACGCAAAATGCCAAAACGAAATTAAGAGCCCTTCTGGACTAACGCGCTTTGGGCTAACAATGCAGAAAATCAAAAATACATTAAAAGGGATTAAAATATATTTGCAAACATTTTTATATTCGGAAGTATATCTCAAGGTCCAACACCTGCAAAACGCAAGGCAACATAAATAATTTTATTGACACGGTGCATGAATATAATTATAATAAATGTTATAAATTGTGTACTTTTTCCTCTAGGTACGCCAAAAGCCAGAGCTTATATTCTAATATCACTTCCTTCCATCAACCATTTGGAATTTGTGGAGAGCTTCAGACAAACACTGTCAGACAACAAATACTCATCCTATTATGAATCAAAAACAGGTAGGTACATGTTAATTCCTTAATAATTTGAGTAAGGCTGCATCTTCTAATGCATTTCGTTTTGTTCCGTTACTTACCCATCTGAGTATCTTTTAGTATATTATCTGAGTAATGTGAATTTTATAGTTTATTTTCCAGTACTACGTAAAAAAGCTGCCTAAACGGTATAGTGGTTAATGACAGCAACGTGCGTATCGATGGGCTCGGGTTTTAATCCCAGATAAAGCATAAATGTTTGTAAGGTATTAGAATTTTTAAAACAAAATTCTAATCTCTCTACAGCAGTCACTCTTAACTTTTCTTTCTCTCATGCATCCTGTTGATAGATGATCAATCCATCCCCCTTCCCTAACTCGAAAAATGCATATATATTTATTTAAAAATTTTTTAATGTGTTTTATAAATTAAACAAGAGAAAGGACAGAAAATATTGATAAATACCAAATCTTGAATTAAAAAAAAAAAAAAAAAAAAAGAATTACTCATCAACTAAACATAAATTCTTAACAGATAAGTAAAAGGCTGACTGCATCTCCTGAAACTATAAAATTCCCTGGCCGTATTCTGACCCCTCCTTCCGCTGGTTGAAAACTCCTAGTATTGTGTCTCCATGGCAAGACGGCACGGCGAGCCCGAAGCTCTCCTCGGCTCTACTTTATAAAGTTGTAGAGGCATTAGGTTATTTTTGAAGCAGGAGACATGAAAAATGTGCAGTGTCCTTGCCGGGACTTGAACCCCGAACTTCTCGAATACGCACCGAGTGTGCGACCCATTACACCACGAAGGCGTGCTAAAAGGCGGTACAAATATCTTATATACTCCCTCTCTTAAATGGCCACTGAGGATTACGGAGCTCAGTCGCCAAATTCTGGTGGTGGAGAATCATCATCCCGACCTCTTTTAGTTCGGGCGCCCTGTAGAGTCATTAGATTATTTTTGAAGCAGGAGACATGAAAAATGTGCAATGCCCTCGCCGGGACTCAAACCCCGGACTTTTCGAATACGCACCGACTGTGCCACCCATTACACCACGAAGGCATGCTAAAAGGCGACACAAATGTCTTATAAGGTTATATCCCTGGCTTCTGCCTTCAGATCGTACGTTCGGGCTGCGTGCAATTTAAGTTTAAAGTCACTAAAATAAAATATAGTAATCTTTACAGACAAAATATTTATAAAATTGAGTGCAATAAACAATTATTAGATAAGTAATTTCAAGTAACTTTGAAAGTTACTTGACTACAACTTAACTACAACTGTGAAAAAGGAAAACCGCAATCATTTGCATATTTCAATATTTTAAATAACATTTTCTTTAAAATAATATAAAATGCTGGAGATTAAAATTACAACACCATGAAGAAACCATGAAGAATTGTTGTTTGACTTCTAAATTAACATGAAGAAAAGCAAATACAAAAAATATATTTATTGTACTTAAAGTGTATGGCATGACAAAAAATGATTAAATTTGTAAGTACTTTGGGGGTTTAGAGAGGTGCGAGATTAGTGGAAACAGTTGCCACTCCGGGCAGCTAAAACGACCCTTACCCCATTAGGCATGGAGTCGAACTGGGCTTTAATGACAGGAACGGGCAACTCATTCCATGCTCCTTCCAGTCTATGCCACATTTCATTCACCCTATTAACTGGAGGGGGGCGGCGGACTACTCTCTCAGCAACCCATGACCAGATGTTTTCAATGGGTGACAAATCTGGAGACGTGCGGGTCAGGGCAGAAATCGAATGCATTGTGTATCGAGGAAGGTCAGAACACGACGTGCAATATTTGGGGGTCTAGTCTGGACACCGGTCGAGATCGATATCGGAAAACCAGTCGGGAGTCTCTTTCCACTCGACAGCAGAAGGGAGATCGAGTCGCATGTTCCTAAAACGTACTCGCCGTACGCATGTTCCTAAAACGTACTCGCTGTACCTCCTGCTGTGAGAGCTGCTTCGCTGCTATTGGTTAGAAGAATTTAGACGTAACATAGAGCTTTCGACGTCATTTGTTTTGTCACGTGGTAAAGCTTCTCGTACTCCAGCCATACTTCTTCGGATTAGAGCGGTTATGTTTTAATCCTTTAAAAAAATCAGTTAAGTCAGAGGTGATTTTATGTACAACTGAATTAATTCATATGTTAATATATATTTTCACTTTATGCAATACACACTTGAGAAATACCGGATCATTACAAAGGAAGGAAAATGGGTTATTTGCTTGAGAGGGTTATATCCATATAGCATTTTGCTAATGGAATGTTGGAAAAACAATATTTAACATAGTTTATTAATCTTTTATCGTGATACAACCACATTTTTAAGAACAAGATTACAAAGTTTACAATTATACACCTAAATTTATCTCAGTTTTCACTCTGAGATGGAATCCCAGGAAAAATATTGTTAATGATGGACTAGATCAAAGTAAGCACACGTGGGATCTTTGCCTTTACTGAATAACATTTGCCAGTCAATTTACAGCAAAATATATATGCCTACATTGCCTACTGTCCATTAAATTAAATATAACCTTTGAATCGCTCTTAATATTCTTGTTTTAAAAGTAACTTGTCAGTTAATTTTATCAGTAACTTTTAGTATGCATTAGGTAGTAAGGAATATACTTTTTAGACACATAAACATTGCTTGGATTATCCTAAATTTTCATTTATATTTTTAAAATACACAGTGTCATTTCCATTATCTATTTCTACTTCATTACCTTTTTTTTTTTTTTTTTTTTTTTTTTTTTTTTTTTAAGATGGGGATGATCTAGTGTGACAAATTGCATTTTGAATGTATTTTAAATTTACCATTAATATTTTAAACTACATTTTGCACCAATATTTATGTTTGCTCTCCCATTAAGGGAAACAAATATAATAATATAAGTTATTAAATTAAAATTCCTGTGTTTAATTCCATCTTTAACAACAGCCATAAAATATATGGAATTTACATTCTTACCACAGATGTGGTAAGTCATGAACTCATTGGCAACTTTGAAGAGCATTTGCAAACTTGTTGGTGAGTTAGGAGAGGGATGTTTGTTTGCATATCTTTAAATTTATTTCAACGATGCATCCACCACCACCTATTGTTTTACATTTTTCTTCTTCAATACAAGACACGCACAATTCTAGGCTTTTTTTCACCGTTGTTTTCCCTATAAATCTTTTTAATAAAAAAAATCAAAAAAAAAAAAAAAAAAACAGAAAATTGCAAAATTTTGGCACCAGAATCCTAAAATGAGAAAGGAAAGAGAGGCATGTGATGCCTTTTATGTTGTATGCATGCAGAAAGCAACATCGCCAAAGATTTTACCAGAGACAACAGAAACTGCGGTATGTGGTCCACCCGAATGCTGAAGTACTGAAATTCCCATAGGAGGGATCATAATCTGCAACCACACTGGTGAAAATATCTGGAGAAGTGCTGTCTGGGAGAATGCTATGTGTATACTTGGGTTGCCATATAAATGATTTTTAGTGACATGTGTAGCCACATAAATTTTTTCTTCGCATCATGGTTTAGACCATCAATACTTTTTCACAGCATTCTGGTGAGGTTCAGAAAATTAGAAAGTACCAAAATTCATCATTTTAGAATTATTTTGAGTAAGTTATACACTTTGTGAACTGTGATGAACAAAAATTAATAAGCTGTGCTTCCCTCAAACCAATTTTCCTTTCTTCCACATAATGATTTATTTGCATATATCAGAACTTTACTATTGCAATATGCTTTTGGAATGATTATTATTTCAATCTATGAGATTTTTATTTTACCACCAAAGAAAACGCACAGACATCATTGCTGGGAAATAACTACCTCTAAAAATCTGACATGTATTAATAATAAAATAGGTACCTTTGTCACAATTTGAATTATCATTTTTAAAGCACATATGCTTTATACTTTATTTTATGTTAAAAAAAAAAAAAAAAAAGCACTATCCTACTTGATCTGGTTTTCCTACCTGAGCTGGTGAATGAACTCACTAGTTTGACTCATTGATTAAGATAACATAATCTGTATGTATGGCTGTTACAGTTATATTATTCTTCAGTTCAGAACTAAGTAAGTGCTACATAGCAAAAAGTTAAAGTAGTTTTTTTTTAAAGTGACCATTGTTTCAGCTAACTTTGGTAGAAAAAATAAGCAGCCCTTAGATGCTTTGCCATGTTCAAGTAACCTAACCAAACCCTCGTTAGAACATTATAAGTGACTACAGCTATAGTTGTGCATAGAACTTTGCAAATAGAAGGATAAATAATATAAATGAATTTTTTCCAGATGAATCTTAATACATCAACACCATCAAGGATCACATCCATGGTCTGCATCAAAAAAATGCCACATTATGTCATGCATTATGCATCCCCATACAGGTCTGAAACCAAGTGTAATCGTATGGTCCATTACATTCCAGTTGCCTTCACGTTTAATGCTTGCAGTTGCTTCACGTTTTAAATGCATTATGTTATGCATTATGCATCCCCATACAGGTCTGAAATCAAGTGTAATCGTATGGTCCATTACATTCTTGCCTTCACGTTTAATGCTCATCGGTGGCCAGGGCAACCTGTATGAGTGCAATGGGCAGCAAGACATAGGAGCGTCAAAATTTTTAGAATTTTGGCAGGAACTGGAAGGCATAATTTGCAAGCAGCAGTTATTCTATTAGGTGATAAAATATCTAGCTCTGGCTTCGCTAGCAGCCAAGCAGTAAAGTAGTTGAATACTGATAATTCGACCTGGAGTTTACATTCTAGCGAACAGGTTGGCTGCACGTGTGTTTTCATAGTTTTCTGCATATATGAAATATGTATAAGCTAACTTCTCTTTGAAAGTACCTCTACCCTTAGCCAAGTTACTATACTGTAATCAAATAAATTAAACACCCCCCCCCAAAAAAACAGCCTCCATGTTTAATGTGCAGTGAACAGGCCTTGTTTAATGTGCAGTTGAACAGGCACCATTGTTTAGGGCTACTGTAAATGATTTATCAGATTTAAAAATTCTAATATCGAAAATATTATGCATATTATAATGATTGAATCCAAGTAAAGAATGAGAAATTATCCAAATTTTCTTTACGTACAACAAATGTTTTGCTGTGTATGTTATGTGAGCACCAGGTATGTACAAAAATACCATGTACACCAGGTGCATTAATGTTTGCCCAATGGAAGACTTCAAATGTGATAGATGATGCAGTATGGAAACTCGTACAAAAAATGTGAAATCAATAGCCATTTGGAAGTGTGCTATGTGATCAATGTTCATAAAATGTATGTAGCATGCGAGGTAATTTTTTAGTTTCTAGTTCATTTCCATAAAATTGATTATTGTATGTATACCATTTATGAAAAGGCAGTGTTTTAAAATCTGATGAATCATTTATTATTATTAATCTTTATTACTCTGAGGTTTTCGAAGCTCACTGCTGTCTATCTTTAGAGGTTGTCTAGAACTAGTGATCAACAAGGAATGTCTGGCACATAACAGAGAGAAACTCCTAAGTTCCCACCATTTTTTTTATTGATCTATTAATCCCTTGATCTATGATTTCATCAGATCTGTTACCTACTGAATATATCAGGCCTATGATTATAAAAAAACTAACGTACCACAGTCTACCCATGGCTACATCAGCTGAACACTGGTAATAACTGAAATCTACTTTTCTCACATATTCTAGGTGCACATCCATTATCTGTTTATCTTCATGCAATGGCTTTAATGCTGGTACGAGGTGGTATACTCCAAGTTTAACTGTTTTTTAAACCATGTACTTTAAGTCTAACTGATTTGCTTACACATGTACAGTTAAACCATGTATTAAAATTTATTTGTATAATAAATATGGCTTTATCTCCCGTCTTCAATAATGTTATGCTTTTAAGGGCCATCAGTGTTTTAAGATTACAACAGTTATTTATATTAATGTTAACCCCCCAAAAAATTAAATCATTGTGGAAATCTACAAATTAGACAAACTGCAATTATCATTTTCTTCTAATATTTAATCTAAAGCAACGGTTCTCAACCTTTTGACTAACGCGTACCATCTAAACAAAAATTGAAAACCTTTAATATCCACCACCACTCCTGAACAAAGCTCAAATCACATAAATTTACGAGTGTTAGAAAAAAAACTCAATCAGGATGTTGGGTTTTAATTTTTTAATTTAATAGTTAAAAATATTTTGCTTCTTTGTATACCACCGGTTGAGAACCCCTGATCTAAAGAAATGTTCCTATGTTGTTTAGATTCATCCACACTCATTCTGCAAATAAATTGGAAAATTTTTATATTTTTGTCTATTAACAGTCAAATGGTAACTGCGTTAAGTGATAATATCAGTAGAACATATTCGCTGTACTGATGATTTTCATACTCTTTCTCAAATGTACACATAACTACTAATAATTTATTCATAGTAAATCATTAATAGAAGATTTTACTCTTTGATGAAACACATTTTACTTAACTTATCTTTTATGCACTTTTGTAACATACATGTTAAACGTCAGTTTACATATTTTCTAATTAATATTTCTTTCACTTAAATCATCATTTCCTAGAAACTGGTATTGCTGTGTTTGTTATTAATTTTTCATTAAAATGCTTTCATAAGTTTTTTTTTTCCTTCTCAGAATTTTACTTCAGATGTGATGAATAAGCATTATTTCCATTAAGTTGGAAAATTTGGATCTAGGAAAATATAAAGTTTGTCCAGTTTTGTCTGACATCATTCTAAATCTCAAAACAAATCTATAGCACATTACTTTAGAGACAATTTTGATTAAAAAATCTGTGCAAAATAACATTAACAAGAGAAGTTATCCTAGCTTGTATCTAAGCAAATGTTCTGTGATACATATTTATGTAGGTATAATATATTTATGATATATTTTATTAAGAGTTTTACTAAACATCCACATCACTTAACCTAGCTTCATATTTAAAGACACAAAACATTTGTACACTGATCTCAGGCAGGTCATGGCTGGCTTGGTCTTTCATGTATTTTCTAATCAGAAAAGCAGGTATGAGAGACAAATATCATTTAGTAGCTTCCATGAGAGCATCTCTCAAGCAATATACTTATCAGAATTAATTAATTAGCTTTTAAAGGTAGATTAAAAGCATGATGTTATGAAGAAGAGAAAAATTTCACAAAGGAAAACAAAATTCTAAAGTACAAATCAGCGGGAAATCCAGCCTTTGTCCTATGAAGCTTTATTATAGCACTATTAGATTTATCCTTTTAAACTCTAATTCATTACTCAGAAAAAAAGAAATTTTGTATTTTCATCATTAAGAAAAATGTATTTTTTTTATATGACTACTTCATTTTGCACAATATATTACTTTAAGAAGCCAAATAATAGATACGCAAGACTTAGTTGAATAACAGTTGTGTAAATCAATTTTTTAAAATTTTAATATATTATTAAGTTCTTTATTAATCTTGGAAACAAGATTTTGTAAGTAATTATTTTCTTTTCACAAGACCTGCTGTATTTTTGTTTTAAATCTGGCTGGTATTTTCTAGGGAAGATAATCTTTTAGAAGAATTTTGCTTACACAATTGTTTGATTTATCCCTTAGAAAATTTCATGAATATCATGACTGAGCAATGCTACTAAGGCATTAGTTTTATATCATTATGCACAATGGCAAATGGTATGAGAGAGCGACTAAATGGCTAGTCAATAAGACAGTGATTATTTCTGGTGTTTTTATTAAACACGATCTGTAGCTTTCATAAGTATAATAAAATCTGAGATAGAGTTAATATATGTTACAAAGTACAGGCGCGGGATGCTCCCCCAAAGCATTTAGGTTGCTAAAATAGCAAGGAGGCGGGTTTACATTGGGAGAAACGCCCATTTCGACGAAACGGCATATACATGGGGGATGGAAACTTCTGGAACGAATTCTTACCAGTTTAACCCAGCATGTTCTCGAACACAAGCCGAATGCTATATAAACCCTGCTGGTCCGCAGTCAGTTAGTGTGTCTCAGAGAGTGTGCCTCGTCTAGCGAGCCGTGCGGAGTCGATCGAGTTGACAGCCGGGCAACGAGTGACGAGTGGCTCGTCGAGTGCACCGAAGGAGTCTCTTGGTGTATCGCGGTTAGTGCATCGCCCAGAGAGCGTGTTGAGTTCCGGGAACGACTGAACCGAAGAGTCGGGAGCTGTGCTCGTGTGTCGTCGTTATTCACTCCAAATCAACACGAACCCCGTACGAACGTGAAGGAAGAGAAAAACGCAACAACTGGTGTCAGAAGAAAAGAAAAACCGTAACAATTGCTGTCAGAAATGGGATTTGCGAGTGAATGTCAGTGACCCGCCTGCAGAGGAAAGCCATGGTGGAAGAAACGATGGCTTTGATGGACCTTTTAGCCGAGTTGAAAGCAGGACAGAAAGAGATGAAAGCTGAAATCAAAGCCGAACTGAAAGATATGAAAGCTGAAATGAAAGAGATGAAAGCCGGACAGGAGGACATAAGGGCTGAGATCAAGAGCGAAATAATAGCTGACTCCATAGAAAAGAATAGCTTCAGATTTGGATTAATTGAATACCCTGAAAATAGCCCAAGAGAGGTATTAGTGGCTTCTTCATTAGTACACCTTTCGGAAGATTTCATCCCTGTGAGAGTGGCGAATGTTAGTCACAGACAGAGAACATCCAAAAGGGTGAAGTGCTAGTAGTATGCACTGCAGTTACTTGCGTTTACAAAGCCCCACTTGAAATTTCGAATGAGGCAACTAGGAAATTAATGGAAGAACTTCTGCATAGTGCAAATTTAACCCATGAACAAAGACGTGCGGCAGAGAAAACAATTAAAGAATTTGAAGATCTATTTTCTAGGTCATCCAGAGATATTGGCCGCACAAAACTGACGCAACATCGAATTGATACGGGGGATCCCTCTCCGATAAAGCAGCATCCCAGACGTTTACCATTCGCAAAACAGGAAGAGGTTGGAAATCTTCTGAAAGAGATGCAAGAAAATGATATCATTGAACCATCCACAAGTCCATGAGCATCTCCTATAGTTCTCTTCCGGAAGAAAGATGGCTCAATAAGATTTTGTGTCGACTACTCCGGTAGTCTAGAGTTAATTAGACTAAATAATGTCACTAAGAAAGACAGTTACCGTCTTCCCAGGATTGACGATACTCTAGGCACCTTATCAGAACACAAGTGGTAAGAGTGGATACTGGCAAGTGGAAATTCATCCCGACTATAGAGAGAAAACTGCGTTCACTACCGGTCAAGGACTCTGGCAGTTTAAAGTTATGCCTTTTGGACTCTGTAACACGCCTGATGGAGACAGTGCTTCGTGGTCTATCTTACGAATCCTGTCTGGTCTACCTAGAAGACATCATTATAGTGGGCTGTACTTTCGAAGAACATCTAGAAAATATCAGGAAAGTGTTCCAGAAATTGAGAGATGCCAACCTTAAACTGAGTCCTTCGAAATGCAAGTTGTCCGCAGTGAAGTTACCTATCTCGAGCACGTCATCTCTGACGAAGTTGTCCGCACAGATCCAGAAAAGGTGTCGGCAGTTCAGGACTTGGAACGTTCTGTGGGTATTCATCAACTACGGAGCTTCCTGGGACTCTGTACTTATTACAGAAGATTTGTGAAGGGGTTCTCCTACATTGC